AGGGGAAGGTAAAGGTGAAGTTTGATTTATTTTACACTAGTGGCCTGATGCACAGATTCATGCACACTGAAAGGAAATTAATTAGAAGAAATATTTTAATATCACTATACATTTCTCTATAATAGAAGTGACAGAGATGAAAGAAAATTAGTAAAATGTATATGAAAATCTTTCTCCTGTCAAAGTCTGGGGCATGCCGTGGGACCCAGAGTCAAGTCCCCGCACACCTGCAATGCCTCTAAATTGTGCGAGACCTAGACCCAGCTGGCCCCACCTGTGTCAAGCCCCTCTGGGCAGGGGTTTCAGCCCCAGATCCCCTGGCCTGGCACAGGGCGGGGGGGAGGGTGCAGCCTCAGATCTCCTGTCAAGCCCTGCTGGATCAGGGGTGGGGGTGGGGGTCACAGCCTCAGGTCCCCTGGCCCAGTGCTGGGCAGGGGTGCAGCCTCAGGTTCCCTGGTGTACCCTCAGGTCCCCTCAAGCCCTGCCAGGCAGGGGCACAGCCTGAGGTCCCCCGCCAAGCCCCGCATGAAGGAGGGGCACAGCCTTAGGTCCCTGCTGATTGCTCATTAAGGCTCACTATGAAACTCGGCCTCTGCTGTGGGCACAGCCATCTTGACCGTTATGGTGTGATGGTCAATTTGCATATTTTCTCTTTATTAGATTAGATAGCAGAAAACACACCAGAGAGGTTAAAATTATCTGGAATGTGGCTGACTTAAATGACTTTGGGGAAGTTAGTTTAATGCTCTAAGACTCATTTTATCTTCTGAAAACTGGTAAAATGACTCTTAATAGGATTATTATAATGATTAAATGAGCAATGGATGCAGCTTCTGAGCACAGTGCCCTGTACATAGCAAGTGCTCAGTAAATGGTGGTTTCTATTAGAGTAATGATAAACACGAATCATAAAACCAATGGATTTTGAGTATTGGTGCCAGCAGTGAACACTTCTGTCAGGGCTAGTAAATGTACATGCCCCTCAATCCCAAATGAAAACTGCTAGTGAGCACCCAGCAGGGTTTCTGCAAGTCTCTGCTATGAGTTAAGAGACACACAAGCCCCTCCCAGATGGGAAATCAGGCTCATGTTACATGCTCATATTTTCTTGTGTGCATATCATGCATGAAAGGAAAGAACATGACTGGGTCACTGTTATTATCGGTTATCTACAAAATACATGGAAATATCTTACCATTCAAAAACCTTATTTTGAGTACAATGGAGTCTGGTCACACAAAGTTCATGTTTTTGCCCTATTTCTAAACCTCTTTCCTGCTTTCCCACTTCATCTTCACTCCACCATCAATCTAGCTTCTGGCCTGGGTGGTGCCTTAAGTATTAGAATGGATTCATCAAATTGCGTGGCAATAATTTCTTTTGGTAGCTTCTCCCAGATACAAGTCTTTATTCATCTCTTAGTGCCCCAAGTCCAGTGCAGGATACCCTGCCGGCCCTTGATGAAAGTTCATTGAATTATGAATGAAGGAACCAAGGGGGAAACCATTTTTCTATAACATTTCTTCATTCATATCACCCGAAGTATTTTCTCACATTTCTTTGGACACCACTGCATAGGGACATCAGAAAGATAAGCTCAGGGCATCCAAATTATTCGCTGGAATTAAATTAGGTGATAGCAGTTGAAAACTGCACTCATTCTCTCAGGCCTCAAAAATGTCATTTGGTAACTTTCCATACTTTGAGCTCTTTGGAAGGAGAGGCATATCCAAGTCTAAGGCTTAACCATCATCATGTTCCTGGCACATTCTGAACACGTTGACTGCAGATCTTGGCAAAGGCATTATCACAACCTGTGCTTGTTGCCTCATTGCCCTCTAGGCTCCCAAAGGCAAAATGCCTGGCAAAGAACCACAGCTTGCTTGCCTTTAGGAGACTGATTTGTGCTTAGTTCTTTTGGAATTTTGGCATATTTAACTTCAACAAGTGGTCAATTTTTCTGAATGATTGGGTATTCCAATATTTCCCTCCAAGTAGGTCAATGGCAAGCTTTCAGAGTTCATTCAGCAGTTGATTGCACACATATTTATGCAAATATACACTCATTTCTGGCTCAGAGAATTTTGTAGCTGTTTACTTTCTTAAAATTCATATTCTTTGTTCAGCTGCTTTTCCTAATCCCCCACCTTAGCATTTTGAATTTTGCCATTGATTTCACAGTTTCCATCCCTTACAAATCACTACCCCATTTTTTTATTTTTTTTTTGCAACCGTCTGTTCTTTCTTGGTTACAATCAGGTAGAGGAGGTCTGCTATCTCTTCAGCTTTCTACTTCTTCCACATTGAACAGTGTCAGCAACCCTTGAATAATCTGAATACTGTCAAGTCATTTTCCCAATAGATAGCTAGGTAATTAAAATTACCTAATATATTCAGGGCTTAGGACTTGAGTGATTCTCCTAATTCTCAAGGTACCATTTCCTTCACCTTCATTAAAGTGGCAAAGACTCAGATCAGAGTTCCTCACTGTGCACATCCTGGGATCAACCTTGTTTACTCCTGTAAATCCAAGTATGATCTATGTCAGGGGCCAACAAACTCTTTCTGTATCGGACCAGATAGTAACTATTTTAGACTTTGAGGCCCAGATAGTCTCTAAGAAATCACTCAACTTTGCTGCTGCAGCATGAGGATAGCCACAGAAATATGGAAACGAATGGGCATGGCTACAAGCCAATAAAGCTTGACAGGCAAAAGCAGGCTTTTGTGTAATCACCATGCAGAGAGCAGGGAAGTCTGGGATGGGGTCCTGGTGGTGTTGCTCACTGGCTGTGCAACCTAAATTAGTTATTTAACCTCTCTGACCTCAGATTCCTCCTTGACATAGCCTATCTGAAGGATACAGAGCAAAAGGCAAAAAAGGAAAGAGCCAAATCACGGGACTAACATTCTTTGCTGAGGGAGCTTGGGTGATGTGACAGGGTTTTACCTAGAGGTTACATCATTTGAATTGTGCTTCACTATCACTGCTCTGGTTCAAATGCAGGTAATAGATTTAAGGGAACAATACTAAAAGAAAAGACATCTAGTAGGTCAGTTGGATGGAACCGGTAAAAATTGATGCATGATGTTCTAAACTAGAGAAATGGCAGTAAAAATGGAAAACAAGTTGATTCCGGGAATATCTAGAAGGAAATTGGCAGTAAAAGGAGGCAAAAATCAAGGCTGCTCTCACTAGGTACAGAGCAAATAACCTGGATGAACTTCAGGCAATATGGCCTGTAGGAAGGAAATGCACGGTGTACTGAAACATTTGTAACTGGCACAAATTAAAACAATAAGAAGTAACAGCCACCACTGTGCACCCCAAATTATTAAATTCCATATAGGCATTTCTACTTTCTCTATCAATGCTTGCCCAAGCATAAGAAAAGAAAAACAAACAACCAAAGAGCATTAGCCATCCTTTATTCATTGCTTAGTATGATCCAAGCAATAGCACATCAAATCTTTACCTAAATTCTAAAAGCTCACTAATGACCATCAATTCACAGACTGTCACAAGTGAGAACAGCAAATTAAGTAACTTGTCCAAGTATCACATAGCTATGAAGTGAGGACACAGGGATTCGATCCCAAGAATGGTTGAATCCAAAGACTGTGTTCTTAACCACCACCCTCTACTTCCTTCCCATATATCACTGACTTTAGAAGTTTGTTTTCAAGAGTCCAACGGGCTTGCCTGCTGAATTCACTGCTGCTTGTGAAATTCTGCAGGCTGAACATGAACACCATTAGTTCCATGACTTTAAACAAGTTATTTATTACCTATTAGATTCTGTTTGCTCATCAGCCGCACTTTTGCTATTACAAACAGTAAAACTCCCACATCCTGTCACATTAAAAAATAAAAATATCTTGCAAATAAAAAAAATCAAAGTTAGGTAATTTATTTTGTTGTTTCATTGAAACAGAAAAGGGAGAAGAGAATGTGGAAAAATAGGCTAGAGAGTAGCGATCATTTCTTTCAGGAGAGTAAAAGTGTCACCAGTCAGAGAAAAAAAACAGCCTCTGAAAGCATTAAGTCAGATGGACAGTAACCCTGAAGTATATACTATTTAGTCTCATTGCCATAATCACACTTCTCGTTTGAAAAAAAAAAATGGTAAAAATCATAATCAAGAAGAATATGCTGCATGCTTAAGAAATCATGAATCAGAAAGAATTATGCATTACTGCAACGTTTTGAAAATGGAAATTAAAGATTTACAACTCTTGAAGCATTCCCAATAATGTTCCTTTGCAAACCTACTTTTAGCTAAATTAAAAGATTTTGACAATAAATGCTAGGGTTTTTTTTTTCTTTAACTAGCAATTGGTTATATGTCAGCTCAGCTTTCTAGAACTAAATTACTTTTTGAAAAATAGAACTACATCTTTTTGTGACTTGCTAAATAAATGTCCAGGAGTTTAAATATAATTCATGTCATATGTGTGTTTGTTTTAATGTTATAAAGCTGGGAGAAGGTTACAACAGGTAGAGGTCAGAAGGTAAACTGTTCATATCGTATTTTATGGTTTCATAAAATGCTGATATGAGAATTCAAATCCCAGGAAAGATTTTATGGTATAATACTTGTTTAAAAACAGAATCCAAATAAACTTAAATGTTATGAATCAGAACAATCTCTATGTTTAGGTGTATATAAGAGAATGTGTATAAGTGTGTAATATCACATATTCCATATGTATAATTCATGGATTAGGTGATACAATGTTTATATATGTATCACATAGTTAATGTATATTTTTATAAAACATAATGTGTTTCATATACATTTCATAGTATATTTATAAATATTGGTATACCAAATAGATATGGCCAATAGATCTAATAATACATTTAATCTAATAAGTATTTATTGAGCACCTAATATGCATCTGGGGTTTGCTCTGTGCTGAAGATGCAAATGCGTCTAACCTCAGAGGGAAGGTAGGGGAGGGTGAGAGTAAGGGGGAGAGATCAACCAAAGCACTTGTATGCATGCATATAAGCCTAACCAATGGACACAGATACCAGGGGTCGAGGGCATGAGTGGGAGGTGGGGGGAATGGGGGGATAAGGACACATATGTAATACCTTAATCAATAAAGAAAAAAATTAAAAAATAGAATAAACATAATTTTTTTAATTAAAGAAGAAGAAGGAGGAGGAGGAGGAGAATGAGGAGGAAGAAGAGGAGGAGGAGGGGGAGGAGGTTCCTCACAAGGGCAGCACAATCCAAAAGGCACACAAACAATGTAAACTCAAGAACCATAATCTGGTGTGATGGCTGCCACTACCAGGCTGTTCTAGTCTAGAAGGGGGTCTCTAAGGGGAGCTGTTAAGCCTTGCTCAACTCCACCATTCATAATGTCTTTTGTAGTTTCAAGGTTGGATTGGACTGTGATGAAGTGTCCAGAAAGGAGAAGATTGTATGTACTCCCTCATGATTATCCTGAAACCATCCCAGAATGGTACAGCCAATTCATTTCACATTGATCTTGTCCCCTTACATCATATATTAGGCATTCATTACAATGAAAGCTTACAGAGAAACAAATACGTTCCTTGTTCAGGATATTTTAAAGTGTTAAAATTTACATTATCATTTATGTCTACATCTTAAAGTAAATGCCACAAAATTCAAATGTTTGACAGAGATCTGGGTTTAAACGTGAGCTACAGCACTTCTGCTATGTGAACTCAGACCATTTCCTTAACCTGCCTGAGGTTCAGTTTCCTCATTTGAAAAACAGGACTAGTAGTAAAATATTTGTGAGTAGGTGATGAGATGATATGGATCAAGCACCTGGCATGTAGTAGGCAAATCCTTTCTACCTTCTTTGAGTGGAGGCTGCTCCTGGTGCTAGAAGGTCAGAAGTAAACTACTGAGAAGCTCCCTGAATAATCTGTTATCTTAGAAGATAATACCATGTGATACTGGGTGTTTTTCCTGACATGTTATTAGAGGTCCCACATGAAAACATCCCTGCCTGTAACAGTTAGGGTCTGAAACAGAGCCATGGGAAAATGTGTCCTCTGGCTCCTCGGCAAGGATTCCCCAATGATTTTGGTTTCAGCAGGCCAATTTCCTACTGGGAAACTCACTACCCTTATCCTCCTCTTAGGCCTCATGTTTAGACAGGGTGGATTCAATCCCCTTTTCAAGAGGGAGAAGGAATATAATCATTCAGGGCACTTCAGTCCCCTGTCACAGAGGTATTTTCAGGAATGAGCACCGTGAGATTTTGCCCAAACTTCCAGAAATAGGATTCGAACCTGAGAGATATTAAGGCTAGTGCTGCTGTAGCTATCTTGCCACCTTGAGGGAACAGCCATGTACAAATGGAGCCAAGACAATGTAGGGAAGCTGAGTTAGCAAGAAAAACCGTGACCTGGATGTAACATTTGAGTCCCTGCATAGAGCAGCACCTCTGTCTTTCAGTTATGCACAAATGCCTTCCCTTTGCAGATGTAGTTGTGTTTCCCGCCTCTCACAACTAAAAGAAACCCATATACTAAATGGGGGCATTGCATGTCTTGTTTGGGGTGACAATTCATCTTACTTTTACTAATACTCTGCATTCAGATTAACAGTGTTTTGCTAGTAATTTTATTTATTTTTTTATGAATAAAGAAGGAAAGGAATAGTATAGATGCCTCTTTTTTTAGGACTTTAAAAAATTACACAAAACCATGCACATTCATGTTCAGATATGAAAACCAGAATGCAGTTTTAAATGGATCTCTGTACTAACAAAGAAGTTATTTCAATGGCCAATATCTATTCGTTGGAATTGCTTTTTAAATATGCCATAGAAAGTTAATGGTCTAAATCCCATATCCAAGACGAAGGCTACTATTAGAGGTGATGAGAGCATGTTTGTTAGCGGGCAAATAAAAAGTCCAGTCCTGCAGGCGATGCACCCCCAGAAGGCAACATGGGCCCATAAACAATCAGGCCCTGTGGGTG